GGGAGGCCGAGGTGGGTGGATTGTTTGATCCTGGGAGCTCAAGACCAGCCTGCGTGACATGGCAAAACTTCACTTCTACAAAAAAAAAAAAAAAAAAAAAAATAGCTTAGTGTGGTGGCATGCCTTATAGTCCCAGCTACTTGGGAAGCTGAAGTGGGAAGATCATGGTGAGTTGTGATTATGCCACTACACTCCAGCCGGGGCAACAGAGCAAGACCCTGTCACAAAACATAACAACTGTTCTACTTTTGCTAAAATTAGTTTTGAATGATTTTTCAATTTTTTATTACTGTTACCATATATGTGTATAAATTGCTGATTGGCAAATATAATTTGATATATTACAGTTTATGTATGTAAATAAATAACATTAAAGTCATCCAGCAGATATAAAGTAAAATGTTAATCATTTTAAAATTTAACTTAAAAATTTTGCTTATTGATAACCCTGAATTGAAATTTTTTAAAGCAAGCTTTACACTTGTTATTTTTTATGTATACAGCATAGCTACACATCTAATACAGAATAATACATATATATAGTATCTGTACATATATACAGTATAATGTACATATACTATATATATAGTATATAGTATATATGTAATGTATCTATGGTATTAAAATTTTATGAAGGAACAATTAAGGGAAAAAAAATGTCTAAAAAAGGCCCTTAGGGGAGAGATTAATTTTTAAAAGGTTAAGAAACTCTGTTACTACAATATCTATCAGATGGAGTATCAAGCTGACCAAGCCATTCACCTTGGAACTTTATTCCAACTTGCTACAAGTACTAAAGTGTCAGGGAAGCATCAAAACACCTGACCATCAAAAAGAGTTAAGTGAACATGAGTGGAGAGAAGTTTGCCTGCGCATACAAAAGAGTGAGGCAAGTACAGTAAAAACAAGACAGGGCTAAGTGACTCATGTGATGACTGCTGAAGCTTTTATAAAAACAGTGCCCATGTTATACCACTATTCCAGCTGTGTGGGAATCACCGCTTATTTGTTTCATATTGTTTTGTCTTTTAATTCATTCAAAGAAGCTAAGAAAAATGGTAGGATTTGAAAGCTTGCCTTAAACACAAAACAGCAGGCATCCAGAGGAATCAAAACTGTTTGCATACAGACTAACCAAAGGTCAGAAGCTTAAAAACTTCCAATTTTTCTTTAACCTGTTGTCCTCACAATTTCTTTGTTGATGTTAACTATATGTTACCATCAACATGCCAGAAAGATCTCCCTTTATTATAGCCCAGAACGTTCTGTATAAATCAAACCATAAATCGAACACCTTTACTTCAACAAGTTGTTCAATAGATATTTTTCTCATACATTTCCAAGCTCATATTACACTAAAAACCAGTGTGACGACCAGGGAAACATCACAATTTCACCCATATTTTTTAGCATCTGAAATCTTTCACAGGTGTCCTGAAAGGGGAAATAGGTCATGAACTCCAGGTCAAGCCAATGATCATTAGGTATTACTGTAGCAGAAGGTACTACCCACTGTGTATAGATATGGTACAGGATTAAATGTGCGTATTACTTACAAGGTTATTTTTCATTTCACAAAATGAATTCTGAGCAGCATGCAAACTAGAATTGTCAAAACTAAAGTTCTAAACCTGATGTCTCTCCAACAGGGATCTTGTCACAAATTAAATTCAAGTTTTCTGTAGAACTGTAAATAATCGAAACTGAACTAGCAAACAAGCTAAAGGCGAAAAAAGCCACAGGCTCAAGGCAGTGCCGCCAATCACGCACAAAGCCCACTACATTCTATAAGAAATGATTTTTGCCCCTGATCCCTAGTAACCACATAACTGTTCTAAACACAAAAATGTTGAGAATTTTCCTTGCCCAGAAGTGGTTTTTGAAAAGGATAAATGCATCTTAACATACATAATTTAGTTTGCAAGAAACCACAAAAACAAAGGGGAAGAAGCCTGAAGAAAAGAAAAAGCATATATATATATATATATATATATATATATGCCATAATAATTGATCCAAAGCCACTAAAATATTTGGAGTTGAACCCTTTTGAAACTCTTAAAATGCTCTGCAGTCTGCAAAAGGTTCTTTTTTCCCACTCAACATTGGCCTTATTCTGTCATCAATCTGACATTCTATCTCGCTTTATGGTGTTAACTGCAAGGATGCCCAGCAAATAAGAAATATGTAAGACCTGGCCGGGCGCGGTGGCTCACGCCTATAATCCCAGCACTTTGGTAGGCCGAGGCAGGTGGATCATGAGGTCAAGAGATCGAGACCAACCTGGTCAACATGGTGAAACCCCATCTCTACAAAAAACACAAAAATTAGCTGGGCATGGTGGCGCGTGCCTGTAGTCCCAGCTACTCGGGAGGCTGAGGCAGAAGAATTGCCTGAATCCAGGAGGCGGAGGCTGCAGTGAGCCGAGATCACGCCCTTGCACTCCAGCCTGGGTAACAAGAGTGAAACTCCGTCTCAAAAAAAAAAAAAAAAAGAAATATGTAAGACCAGGGGACAGTAGCTTTTTACTCTGGCTTCAGCTACAGGCTTTCTGGGTGCTTCTACAGATACTCCCCATGCTACAGAGGGCTGCCGCCTGCCTGACAAGCAAGGTTATGCTCCAGTGTCAACAAAACTCCTTAGATCAGTGCAAGGATCAATCAGATGAGTTTCCCGATTTCTCACAATGCGCAGGGTCAAGTGTCTCAACAGCAAATCAAGTTCTGTTCCATTCATCCCTACCACCAAACAAAAGAAAGCTTAGTCGCATACATTAGAAGGACAGGAAGAAATAGTTGCCAATGCAACTGACATATGCAGGAATCTCTGGAGAACAGACTTAGCTCAATTATAACTGCAAAGCCACTCGGGATTTTTAATTATTAAAAAGTAAACCATATGCCAGAGTAATATAAGACAACCCAGTAATCAAGAATGGCAGGGAATGGTAGTTCTTAATCTGCTTCTACTCTACTTTTTAATACTCTGAAGACCTTTTCTTAGCAGAAAAAGCTGTATGTAAAATAACAATAAATCAGAGAAAATGATGCAGCTAAACATGCCCCAGTAACAAAATTCCTGGTCTAATTTGCTTAGGATTCTGAAAAACAATTTTATTCCTTAGTTGTGGTATGTATATATGAGTGTGTTTGTATGTATATGCGCACGCGCACACACACACACACACACACACCCCCTCATATATTAGAAGAAAAACTAATACCAACTTTGTTACTGACTTATTGTGACAAGCTACTTCTTCATGCCTTGGTTTCCTTAACCATGAACAAAAAAGGGTAATTATATTTGCCATTAGATAATCAAAATAGACTTAGAAATCCCTGTGAGAAATGGGCAACCATTATTTGTAAAGATACTAATTCTCTCTGGCTTGATGGGTCTTGCAGAAAGCACCCAGAGCTAGATGCATGCCCAGGACTCCAACAGACTAATGTGGCCAATGATGGTGGTGATAGGGGGTGAGAAAGTAAATCTCCTGCCCTTTTCCAAAGAAAGCCAGTTAGGTATACTGAAATATATACAGATCCAGGCTGCTCATGTGTATAAAGCTTCTCACGTTTATAAATCTTGGACATTTCACAGACGGAAAAAGTTCAGAACGTTTCAATATTCTACTATGACAGCCAATGTAGATTCAAAAGGAACCAAAAGTCTGAATCTGTAAATATTCATGCTAAATCAAAAACCAAAATAACAACCTAGCCTAACAAAACTGAACATAAAGATCTACAACCCATCAGTAGTAGTGACAATTTATGAATGCATATTTCCTAATTTAAAAAAATTCTAAACAAAAACAGCAAACATCTACATGTTGGGGAAACTAGACACTAAGTATTATATTCTGTATGGAAACTAAATTATATATGAAATTCAGATTATAATATATAAGTTTACATTTAGAAAAACCTGACTTTTAAAAAGAAGATGAACACAAATTAGCTGTATTATACAAGGTTCGAAGTGGCACATATCACAAACTTTTCCAAATGATGAACGTTGTAGCTTCTATCTTCCCAAGGTTTCTTAAATCAGTCTTATCCTTTGTATAGCTATGACCACCACTCAGGCCAAGTCCTCATTCTCACTGCTCTACAATGGGCTAAAATCCCTTCCCATCATTCTCTTCACCTCTGCTCTCCATCCCACCCAACCTACATATTGCTGTAGGCAGTAACCCCAGCTACTCAGAAGACTGAGGCAGGAGAATTGCTTGAACCGGGAGGCGGAGGTTGCAGTGAGCCGAGATCGTGCCACTGCACTCCGGCCTGGACAACAGAGTAAGACTCCAACTCAAAAAAAAAAAAAAAAAAAAAAAAAAAAAAAAAAAAAAAAAAAAAAAAAAAAAAAAAAAAAAAAAAAAAAAAAAAAAAAAAAAAAAAAATATGAAAAGCAAAAATTTCAGAATTCCCTGTATAATGGCAACTATTAATACTATATTAGGAGCACATATATGCCATTTAGTTAGCCTAACTTAAACTCCCCAACAAAGATGTCACTGTACTTGGGCTTTCACACACAAGGATTCCTATCCATGCTCTGCCAACTTTATGACCTGATTTAATATGTGCGAAGTCTTTCAGAGTAACTTTCGAGGCTTTTTTTTTCTTTTGCCTTAAAGCTGTCAGACAGGTGGCTTTTGAGAACAAACCATCACTTTAGGTCTTCTCAGCTTCCAGTTAAAACTTCTGGGTTCACCATGGTGCTGACGGCTTAAAGGTGCCGTAACTAGGGGTTACCATAGCTCAGTTGGAACAAAAGGATACTGTGCAGCACTTATGAGAATTCCAAAAAGTGTTTTCTTAAAATGCTAGAGGAAAAGGGGATATTTTCTGGATAATACTGACAATTAATTGAAATAAAGCTCTATCTCCCTTCCTTTCTATAATCCCAAATCAAAACTATCAACTTTATCAAAAACAGGGTGTAGCAGCTTCCTGACACTGTCACTAACTCTGGACTCAGCTCATCTGTCTTACCTTCTGATGCTCTGATCACATAGCCTGCCTTGTCTTCACCAGGAGGCACATCAAGCAACTGCATAATTCTGTCCAGCAGCCCATGAATGATCTCAAACCCAGGATTCTTGTTGTAATACACAGCACAGAGATGCCTGTAGTTTTTTGCACCTACATCTGGAAAAATAAAGGCTGTATTAACTATTGCTTATGAAACTGATTTACCCCAATACAAACTTAGGAAAGTCGACAGAAAAGAAAACCAAATATTAAACATAACAGAGAAGGATTCAACCTCAGAAATGCAAAATAAGATAAAACAGTCTTTTTTCAGCTTATCAAATTCCCTAAGGTGTTTTATTTTGGGAAAAGAGTGAAAAACTCTCAAAGCTGACCGGGGAAAATAAGGCTTCATTGAGGTATAAATTAGTAAAATTCTTTGTAAACAATTTAGCAATATATCAGAGCCTTAAAACTTCATACTCTTTTATTCATAATATTAATACTATCAAAGAAAATAATCCTGAATACAAAAAGGCTTTATGTAAAAAGACATTTACCACAACACTATTTCCAGTAGTAAAAATTATAAACAACTTAAATTAGGGATAACTACATAAAGTACAGTCGATAACTCATCAGGATACTAAGTGGCTCTTAGAAAGCATCTTTATGATGGTTTCTCATAACAGAGCAACAACAAATACTTATAATAGTGACAATAAAAAAAGAGGTCACAAGTTTCAAAAAGAAGCAAAACTAAATTACATTATTTAAAGAACAATCATAGGTTGGAAAACTGTGAAGGAAATTAAGGGAATGAAGATGACCAAAGTTAGGCTAACAATTAGCCTAGGTAAAACGAAGAATCTGTGGTAGGGAGGGGTCATACAAGGAGCTTAGGATACTGGCAACCTTCTATTCTTCATGTGGCTGACGGTTATACTAGTGTGTGTTTTAGAATCTTTTAAAAACTATTTATGTTGAATACATTCTTCATAAAGCATGAAAAAAAAAAGCAGAATACTAAAGTTTATGAAATTATGCTACCACATGGGTGAATCTTGAGGACATTATGCTAAGTGAAATAAGCCACTCACAGAAGGACAGATACTGCACGATTCCACTTATATGAAGTATCTAAGCCATGAAATTGGGAGAAACAGAAAGTAAGAGAAACAGACAGTAGAACAGTAGCTGCCAGGGGCTGGAGAGAAAGGGAATGGGGAGTTGATATTGAATGGGTATAAAAGGTTAGCCATGCAAGATGGAAAGTTCTAGAGACCCACAACAATGTCTATATAGTGAACACTACTGTACTGTGCACCTAAAAGTTTACTAAGAGAGTAGCTCTCATACTTTTTTTTTTACCATAATAATAATTTTTAAAAGTATATGAAGAATGAGGCCAGGCAAAATAGCTCATGCCTATAATCCCAGCACTTTGGAAGGCCAAGGCAGGAGTTTGAGACCTACCTGGGCAACACAGCAATACCCCATCTCTACAAAACTGAAAAATAAAATAAATGAAAAACAGAATCACAACTACATAAGTATAACCATAAGCCAAAAAACTCCATGCACAGAGAAAAAGACTGAAAGAAATATTCCTACCTAAACGTTAACAGAGAAATTATGTTTGGGCAAGGATAATTTTTTCCAACTTTTATTTATTTCCCAATTTTTCCATGATTAGTATATATTATTCTACTTTGAAAATTAAAACAAATTTGCAAACTCAGTATTTCATTTTACTTCACTTTACTATTTGAGATAGGGTCTCGCTGTGTCTCCCATACTGGTACAATCATACTGCACTGCAGCCTCAACTTCCTGGCTCAAGCAACCCTCCCACCTTAGCCTCCAGAGTAGCTGGAACCATAGGCACGTGCCACCACACTCAGCTAATATTTCAATCTTTTGCAGAGACTCTCATTCTGTTGCCCAGGCTGGTCTCAAACTCTGGGTTCAAATGATCCTCCCACCTCAGCCTTCCAAAGTGCTGGAATTGCATGAGCCACTGTGCCCAGCTAAAGTCAATATTTAAAAAAAAGAGAATTGTAACAGTCCAAATGAACCCCGATGGATAAACAAATTGGTACATCCATACAGTAGGATACTACTCAGCAATAAAAAGGAACAAACTGTAGATAAGACTTGACAACTTGGATGACTCTCAAAGGCATTATACTGAAAGAAAGAAGGCTCTCAAAAGGCTACAGACAATATGAGTCCATTTATACAACATTCTGGAAAAGGCAAAACTATGGCAACAGAGAACAGGTAGTAGTTGCCTGGAGTCAGGTATGGGGAAAAAATGTGACTAAAATAAGGGGGTTTGGGGGTAATGGAACTATTTTTTATGTTGTAGTGATAGTTATAATCATCTAAACCTGTAATAAAATTTATTTTTAAAAAGAAGTGTATAGTATAGAGAGGAAGACTCAAAGTCAGCAGTCATCATTTAACTTTATAACACTTGGGGCCCTTCAATAAATTCTGGAGACTGCTGCTCTAACACAAATAGAATGAATGCTGGCCTCATTTTGCTTTTCAAATTAAAGAGAAAGAACAAACTAATATCTGAGGGAATAAGCTGAAAATAGAAAGCTGCTTCATGTTAGTATACATTGGGCAAAACTTTCTCCATAGATTTACTCCCATAGGTAAAAGCTACTAGCAATGGTTGACATAAAATACAGAATGCCTTTTACCTTCTTGATATCCAAGTAAAACACAAATATTTTAAGATACTGTATTAATATTAAAATAATATGAAAGTAAGCACATAAATGGAGTAAAAGGAAAACTAACACGAACCTGTTAGTCTATGGTATTGATTATCTGGCGAATGCCAGGTATTACCTATCTATCAATTTATCTGTAATCTTATTTCATTCTCAAGACAACCATGCAAGGTAAGCATTAATATTCCTATAAAACAGATGGAGAAACAAAGCTCAGAATGATTAAGCAACTTGCCCAAAGTCAAACTAATTGGCTGGAGCTAATCCATTTAATTATATGGCTAATAAGTTACAAAACCAGGATTTGACTAGAATTAACTGACTCTTAAATCCATGCTCTTTCCACTATAGGGTACACCCAAAAGGATTTAAATGAAAACAAACATATAAGTGCAAACTTATGTATGGCTACGTATCCACTTAATGTAGTCAAAGATGTGCATTCTTGAAATGTTTTTTATATGATAAACAGATGTTTTAATTTTCAGAAGTTTTTGTGATACTTAAGAATTCCATTTAAGCAACTGAAATAAATTATTTTTAAGGGTCAGTGAAGTTTCTAGGCATCAACAGTATTGTTACTTATGGTAAATATATTCCGAGTTGAACTTCAGACTGAACAGACACAAAGAAATAACTGCCCTTGCCATTTAACATTTTCCAGTACACACTGTTTTCAAGGAGCTCTATTCTAGATATCCTTTGACAATGGAGGTCAAAGCCAGTACAAGGCACCCACAACCTAAACCCTCAACAATTCTTTTTTTTTGTTTTTGAGACAGGGTCTCACTCTAGCAGGCCAGGGTGGAGTGCAGCAGCACCATCTTGGCTCACTGCAACCTCGACTTCCCAGGCTCAGGCAATCCTCTCAATTCAGCCCCTGAGTAGCTGCGAGTACAGGCACACACCACCATGCCCACTTGTTTGTTTGTTTGTTTGTTTCTAATTTTAGTAGAGACAGTGTTTTACCATGTTGTCCAGCTAGTCTTGACCTCCTGGGCTGAGACAATTTGCCTGCCTCAGCCTCCCAAAGTGTTAGGATTACAGGCATGAGCCACCAGGCTAGGCTTTTGGTATTTACTCAGAAAACAATTACTCAGAAAATTATTTTCTGAGTAAATGCTTAAAGCCTAGAAAAAAAGATAAACACATACAAATAGCTATTAAACTGGGCCAGGAGCAGACAGTGGGTCACATCTATGCCAGCTTAGGTAAGCAAGTAGGATACCACTGTCATCCACTATCATTCCTATTTTTAAAAATAAAGAAATTTGGTATCTAAAAGCTATAAGTCGACTTAAAATCAGACAGGCACAAAACCCCACTAAACCAACCACATGCATAAACTAAAATGAAGATCCTGATTCCACTGTAGGAATATAAACTTACTTTCTCTGTCTCTCTCTCTCTCTTTCTTTCTTTCTCTCTAAAGGTAAAAAATAAAATGAAACAGAACTAAATTATCCCTTTCATACTACTGACTTGCTTCTGGGTATTTTTGCCATGTGGTACCCATTTGTTGGTATGGATGTCACATGCTTCCACTTTAACACACAGGGACGTATTGAAACAACTTTGTAGTTTCATTTTTCTGTGAGAGAATAGCCCAACAGTAATACCATCATTAAGAGAGAGCTTAGCAAAATCAAATGGAAGGTTTATTTTGGTAAACGTTGCCAAATTCCAAGTATTTTTTTTCCTGATCTCCAAATTATATAAAACTTTTATATTTCTGATATGAACAGCAGCATCTGGATTAAAAACTTAAGAATTTTAAAAAACAAATAAAGTAAACTTGTAATGAGAATAATAGAATAACAATAAAAAATACAGAATTTACGCCAGGCACAGTGGCTCATGCCTGTAATCCCAGCACTTTAGGAGGCAGAGGCAGAAGGATTACTTGACTCCAGGAGTTTCAGACCAGACTGGGCAATAAAGTGAGACCCCATCTCTACAAATTTTAAAAAATGCAAAGGTTAGCCAGGCACAGTGGTGGTGCCATGTGCCTGTAGTTCCAGCTCCTTGGGAGGCTGAAGTGGGAGGATCCACAGGGCACAGGAGTTTGAGGTTGCAGTGAGTTATGATCATGCCCGGGTGACAGAGTGAGACCCTGCCTCAAAACAAAACCAAAACCAAAAGAGACCTTAAAAACATTATACTTGATTTCATTCAAGAAAGGTTTCAGGAGGC